TACTAAAAACGTTTCTTCATTAACCATGTTTCCAACACTGCATCATCTTGATTTACCTGCTTGACAGTATATGTACTATAATTCATTTAATCATGTATTTAAATATATAACCTCCTAAACTCTAAGACAGCATTTTTGTGGAAATATTATGCCTTTATAAAGTTAAAAATTCAAAACTTTTTTTTTAGAATAAATCTCAGATTATTCCTTTGGCTTATCTGTAAAGTTGAAGGTAAGTCAAAGTCTAGTTATAGGATTTGGGGTCCATATCTGGAGCAACCTGTGACATCAGTAAAGCATTTCTCTGAGTATCCATATTTTTGTTTAAAAAATTCATACAGTTTCCACAACACAATGTTTTCATGTTTGTTCCAATACAAAATAGTAGTTTCAATGTTCAATTATTTTGAGTTTTATCTAGACTTCTAAGTAAAACTAACAAACTCATGAAGACATAGCATTTTTACTTAGTGACCTCAATTACCGCACAACACACCACCTCTGATAAACACACTGCTTTAATAAAATGACTAAATTAATAGAATAAACAATTTTTCATAATGCACACTAGGACATATTTTATGTTTTATTTCATACCAATATGAGGGTCCCTGTAAAAATGGTCATGAGTTATGAGAAACAATGTGATCAAAAAGTTTTTGCAATGCTTAGGATCCTTTTCCAAATTCTATTAGAATTGAAGAAATGGACTATTTTTCTCTTGTATAACTAAGGGCCTTCAAAAATGCTTCCAAAAGCCTTTTCCCTATTGTTCCAGCTTATTGGCCTCACCATTGGCAGCCACAGAAAGTGGAAATACTCATTCTACTTCATTGACAAGAAATAAAGCTTTGCACTGTGCTTTTTAGAGAGAGGAGAGGGGAGGGTTGCAGTACTCCTAGAGAGAAAATGAGGCAGCTCTAAGTCCAATTATGTTGAATGTATTTACTGAATGCTTATCATGTCCAAAGTATGATGCAGAGAAATGTGCAGGATACAAACATGATTATTGCATGGGCTTCGGAAGGACTGATACTAAAAGGCAATGCTATATGGTGAAGTGTTTAAATAGGACCCATTTGAGGAGAGGGCACCTCATGTGGCTGGAGTTAACCAGTATTGTGAAAAGAAGTAATTTTAAGATGCAGTTGAATAGTTGAGTAGGGAAAAAAACAGATATATAGGGGAGAAAAGGGAAGTTCATATAAAATATTCATGTCATGTAATAATCTCAATTTATTAGAGTATTTTATGTTTTGGGGAAGATTTTATGCATGCTTTGTATTAGATCCTATCTTTAATATTCGCAATTCTAAATTTTTATATTTTTTGGGAGAGTGTTGAACTCAGGTAGGTTGTTAATGTTTCCAGTCATGTACTAATTAATCAATCAATCAATTAATTAATTTTTGCCTTTCGTTCATTTTTAAAATTTTTTTATTTCAGCATATAACAAGGGTACAAATATTTAGGTTACATATACTGCCTTTGCCTCACCAGAGTCCGAACTTCAAGCGTGTCCATCCCCCAGACGGTGTGCACCGCACCCATTAGGTGTGTATATACCCATTCCCTCCTGCCCCCTCCCATTTGCCCAACACGCGATGAATGTTATTATTATATGTGCACTTAAGAGTTGATCAGTTAATACCAATTTGATGGTGAATACATGTGGTGCTTGTTTTTCCATTCTTGGGATACTTCAGTCAGTAGAATGGGCTCCAGCTCTATCCAGGATAATACAAGAGGTGCTAGATCACCATTGTTTTTTGTGGCTGAGTAGAACTCCGTGGTATACATATATCACATTTTATTAATCCACTCGTGTATTGATGGGCACTTGGGTTGTTTCCACATCTTTGCAATTGTGAATTGTGCTGCTATAAACATTCAAGTACGGGTGTCTTTTTTATAGAATGTCTTTTGTTCCTTTGGGAGGATGCCCAGTAGTGGGATTGCTGGATCAAATGATAGTTGTACTTTTAGCTCTTTTTTTTTTTAGACAGAGTCTGGCTCTGTT